TGTGTGTGTTTATACTTATATATATGCCTCTTAATTTTTACTCACTGTTAAAACAACTAGACAGAAATATACTGAAATGTTAATAGTACTTATCTCTGGGTGTTAGAATAATGGGTGATTTTTATTTTCTCTTTTACCAGTTTGTACTTTCCAACTTTTCTACAATAAGAAATTATTACAAGAGAAGAAATTATTACCATTATGTTTTAATTATATAAACAGTTTGAAAGGTTAGGAATGAAAGGAGGATAATTTTAAGGATAAAATATATTCCTAATGTCTATTTTATTGTATTGTATTATAGTATATTGTATTGTGTTTTTTGTCTTTTTTATTTTAAATCTTCCACCTATAGTGGATTCAAGGATCATTCATGAAAACATAACAGAAAAAGAGAAAGTCCAGAGAATAACCCTAGAAACTTTTGGAGACTGTCCTCAACCACAACTAGAATTCGCCCAGTATAAGGTAGGACATTCAACAGTAAACATTAACTCCAAGTTATTGGCATTTAAAAAACAACAAACAAAAGCCCTACATGGAAAACAAATCTAAATAAACTGTTCCTTTTTCATCACTTCAGTTTTATATAATATAAATTTATATAACTTTTAAGTTAGGTAGACCTCTTTACAGTATTTATTAAGTTTCCTTGTTGAAAAATGAGCTCTTTCGGTCCCCAAGTTGTGGGGCTGCCTTTTTATCTTACATATTAATTTAATAATGTCTAACTTGCTGTGATCTATACTTGAGGGGGAAAAGAATTATAGGGCATGCCTTTCTAGCCTATTCACACCTAGCACAGTACTTGGCACGTAGTAGGTGTTCATAAATACTTGTCGAAGAAAAGAATAAATAAGTCTTGTCATCACACAGAGGAAAACCAGCAACCTAGACAGTACTACAAACATAGTTAGTTCTTGGCCTACCACGAAGGCCAGATAGGGTTTTAGGTATCAAATGCAAGCCCATTGCCACCCTTAGAAAAACTTGAGGTTCCTCCCATCATCACCCTAATCTTGAGTCTGTGCTCATACTCATAGCACCTTCCTCCCCCATGCACCTTCCAGTAAAATTCCTTCTATTCATCCTTCCTACAGCTCTAGGCCACACTTTCAATCTACCATTGATCTGCTCCCTTTGACCTAAAGCCTGTTTGGTTTAATTTGGTTTTAGTAGTAGAAATTGATTGATACCTTTCAAGTTGGTTTCCCTAATGGCAGATTTTTAACCCCAATCCTTTTGACAGCTCTTAGTATAGGACAGTGGTTCTCCAAGTGTAGTCCCGAACTAGCACTATTACTATCACTTGGGAATCTGTAAGAAATGCAGATTGTTGGCCCCACCCTGGTCCTACTGGAGCGGGGAACATGGTGCCCAGCAATCTGTTCTCACAAGCCCTCAAGCTGCTTCTGTGCACTAAAGCTAGACAGAGCCACTGGGCTACGATATGGAAGATGGATACAGAAGATCAATTCACAAAACCTCCCTGTATACACATCTTAGAATGGTTTATTCTGGAAGTCAAGGTGCACATTTATTCTTCCCTTCTAATTTTTCCCTACCTTTTCTATTTTGAAAAATGTCAAGGGAAGCCGAGATGGGAGGGTTGCTTGAGGCCAGGAGTTCAAGACCAGCCTGGGCAACATAGTGAAGCTCTATCTCTACAAAAATAGGAAAAAAAATAGCTGGGCATGGTAGTGCATCTCTGTAGTCCCTGGGCGGGGACTGCGTAGGCTGAGGTGGGAGGACTGTTTGAGCTGTAAGCCATCACTGTGCTACCGCCCTTCAGCCTGGAGGACAGAGCAAGACTCTGTCTCCAAAAAATATATATATCAGACCTTCAGAGAGAACGTGCAAGATTACAGCAAACATCCATTTCTCTTCACGTCACGTCATGTCACCAGTTAACATTTTGCCACATTTGCTTTCTCTATTTTGAACCATTTGAGTTAGTTGCAGACATTACTCATCGATCAAATATTTCAGCCTATTGCCTCTAAATCTTAGGCATCACTTTAAGGGAAAAAAAAGATGCAACTTAGAATCCCAGAGCCAAGTACCTACTGAAGTACTGGTACTTGGATAGTTGAAAACAGATATTAAGGAATTGTGTTAGCCATGCTAATGATAGAGTCCTCTCACATCTCTTCGACACATACTGAAATATTTACAGGGAGAATGTATTGGTCTCTTGAATTTCCTTCAAAATAATCCACTGGGGTTGTGCAGCAGGAGATGGGAGGCAGAGGAACACCTAAAACAAGTCTGGCCACAAGGTGATAACTATTTCAGCTGGAGGATGTACACATGGAACTCAAACTGTGCTCCATATTTTTGTATAGACTTAAAATCTTCCATAAGAAGTTAAAAATAAATCTTAACAGTGACTCAAAAGATGTGGTATTTTTACAATGAAATGACAGATTACAAAAGACAGCCCTTGGGCAGCGCCTATGGCTCAAAGGAATAGGGCGCCAGCCCCTATATACTGGAGGTGGCGGGTTCAATCCCAGCCCAGGCCAAAAATTTCAAAAACAAACAAAAAAAAGCCAACCTTTGTTTTCCCTCACCTGTAAAGAGCCTGTAAGGTGGAACCAGCACTCAGCATATCAGGAGTCAGGTTCCCATGCTCGCTGGCCCCTTCCTTGTGTTGTTTAATATCCTTAAATTAAAAAAAAAAAAATCCTTAAACAAATCTCGGTTTGCAGGTAACAAATCAAATGGTCCCCACCCCATTAATCCCTCTATTTCTTGATGACAAGAATTAAAATGAGATTAGCAGAAAAAAAAGAATGAAATGTGTAATCTGATTTCACATTTTACCACAGTCATTTATAAATATATTTGTTTCCTTCTCTTCTTCCTTTCTTCCCTCCCTCCCTCAAAAAAATGTGTGTATGTACATATATTTGATGACAGCTTGAAACGAAGTTCAAAAGTGACTTAAATGCAAGCATCCTGGCCGAGAGAAAAGAACCCCTCCGGTGCCTAATCAAGTTCTCTAGCCCACATCTTTTGGAAGCATTGAAATCCTTAGCACCAGCCGGTGAGTGGTCAGCTTATTTACAGGCTAGAAAAATTCACACCGTCCTCCGCTCCGCCCTGTGCTGACTGATGCCTCGATGCTCCCCCTGTGGCTACCCCGTCAGGTCCTGTCTTGCAGATTCTGCCCTGTACTTCAGTGGGGTTGGGGTGGGGGACCATGATCACCATCTCATCCTGACCATTTTTCAACAGACTCAAATCCATGCCCTGGTGATTATTTTTATTTTCTTTTCTCTTTTTTCTCATTTCAGGGATTGCAGATGCACCACTTTCTCCACTGCTCACTTGCATACCCAACAAGAGAATGAATTACTTTAAAATTAGGGATAAATAAGATGCGATGTGTTTTGTAAGCAGAGCAGTTCCTTGGCTATACTGCACACACATTTCAGTTCATGGCTCGTTCTATAGCGTCTATTTAGATGCTTGTATTTTAGAAGTTAATCCTTGGTGTTGGAAACGTTGAAATATTCATCCAGTTTAATTGTTGGGACTGACTCTTCCCTGCTCTGCAGCTTGCCCCTTGACCCCAAACCTGCTCAGCGTAGGAGTTGTGGGCATTTGAGACGTGACAGGATATAGATACATACGGCTCCACACTTGACCTTGAGTGCCTGCTGCTCCAAAGTCAAGCATATGGCAGGCTCGGTGGGTGAGGCTTCTGGGCGTCATGTCTAGTGTCCTTTTTACCATTCCCACCTCTCCTTAATCCTGGTGAGGCCTGGTTCTAATTGCTACTTTCCAAAAACTTTTTTTTTTCTTAAACCTTGGATCACAGAACAAGGCAACGACAAACTATACCCAAGTCAATACATTTTAGGAGAACTGTGTAAAATTGCTCCATTCAAAGGGAGAGTAGGATCCACTGAGTTAGTATTGCAGGAGTTGCATATTCAATGATTCACTTATACAAAATAACTTTTGTGTAGTAAATATGATACTTTTCATAATCTGTCTTATCATTCAGGTACAGTCAAACTAATCAATATTATACTGATTTGTGAATAAAGACATTGGAAAACTGGTACTTTGCTTTTTTTCAGATTAATATGGGGGTACCTCTGATTTGGTTACACAGTCTGCTTTGTGGGGCTAAAGTCTGAATTGTAGGCTAGGCACCTGTGGCTCAAGTGGCTAAGGCGCCAGCCACATACATCTAAGGTGGTGGGTTCGAATCCTGCCTGGGCCTGCCAAACAACAGCGTGGTGTGTCCTCAAAAAATAGCTGGGCATTGTGTCGGGCACCTGTGGTCCCAGCTACTTGGGAGGCTGAGGCAGGAGACTCGCTTGAGCCCAGGAGTTGGAGGTTGCTGTAAGCTGTGATGGCATGGCACTCTACCCCAGGGGGAGAGCTTGAGGCTCTATCTCAAAAAAAAAAAGTCTGAGTTGTAGTCCCTTTACCCAGGAAGTGTGCCATGTACCCCTGCAGTGTACCCACTGGGTGGGAATTTACTCAACCTCTCGCTCCTCTTACTTGAATTTTATTGAGTTTTTCTCTCATGTGAGCATTTAGGTTAATCTACTGGTTCTAATTAAGTACTGACTACTTACTTTTGATGAAAATCCTTCAGTGATTATCAATGAATATCATGCCTTTTTATAATAATATTCTAAGATTTATTCCCTGTCTTACTCGAGAGAGGATTGGGGGTGATACAAAACCACATATTACAATTATAAAATTAAAAGCTTAAGAAATCTAGGCAGATGGGGGGATATAAAAAGAGAAGACAAAGTAAAGGTAGGGGTAAGATTACTACAGAAGAATGTACAAGTACCTCTCCAGTTGCTAGAAGATGGAAATCTTAGCATGGAGCCTGCCAGTGGTCAAAGCAGAGAAGAAAACACCCATTTGTAAAGGAAGGTATTTTAAAACTGGCACATCACTTACTTTTGATGAAAATCAAAAAGAGCCTTCATATACTGAATATATGAATACATTCAGAAAAGTGGGGCTAAACAATGTTTTATGATACAATGCTATTATTTACAGGTTGTAGGTCATCTTATGTGAAAAAAATATGTGAATGTTTTTAGATTTAATGTAATTTAGAAATAGCACAGACACTTCAGTTACCCCTTCCTGAGCCACAGCATGGGGACCCGCAGATTTCCTCTTGACCATAGTCAGGGTCTTGGGCGTCGTTCCCTGCTGCACACACTTAGCAGGTTCTCTGCCCTGTGCCCGGATGCCCGCGTTAGGTCTGCACAGGGGCCCTGCAGATTCCTGGGATGGGTTCACAGCCCTCCCTGGGGTCTGAACTGGAAAGACACTAGTCCTGTTATCCAGGCTACAGTGGCCCTCCCAGAGGCTCCTGCCTAAGGAAACATAGACTGGTTGAGGGCTCACTGGACTGTTACCTGTAATATATCTGATGGGCAAGTTCAGACGCAGCCTTGGCCCTCAGAGCCAAGGGCTTCTGCGGTCAAGGAATTTACTGCATGTTAGGTACAGTCTCCAAAAATGAATTGTAGCTTATTTGTGTTGTGTGTTCCCTATTTGGCAGCTATTGTACTACTGTTACATATATATACATATATATATATAT